TAATGATATGCTACGTGACCGCTAGCGACACAGCTATGTTAGCATAATATAAACAAGCTAACTTTTTTTCCACTCGATAAAAGTTAACGTGAGTGTTCTCGGTGGTCAGGAACAAATGTAATCGCATGGCAGGATGCTGTAAAAGGACCAAACTTCAGCCAGGAGAACAACTGAGATAATCCATCCACAATACGAGGTTAGTCATTCATGTACTGCTGCATGGGCTGGGCTGTAGCTACATCCTAAGGTTTTAAAAACTGAGCTTAAATAAATGATTAGCGGTAATAAAAGCCGAGGGAGGTCAACAGTGATCACTGACTGTTTTAGGAGCTTTTTGAAATAAAATAGAAGAAAATACAAAACATTAAACATGTTAACAACACAAAAGCCATATTAAACGCTACTACTACTAACTACTTTAGACCCGGAAGTAGGATTCGTCATGTCATCACTTAACGACCGGATAGTTATCAGACACTGAACAATGAAAGAGTGAAATAATAAAACCTGTTGCTTCAGGTTGAGTGTGTCATCTGTTGGCAGAAGATGGCTAAAGCTAACAATGGTTCTAAGAAGGCTAAAGAAGCACATGGACAACAACCAGAAACTTGGGCTACTTCAGATTAGAGGAGGCAACATGACCCTTTGTTTGTTTAAAAATGTTTAATAAGGCAAGCTGGAGTAGCTATAGTGGAGTAAACTGCAGATCTATGCTAGGTTGAGATGCTACAAACGGGCTATCAAAATGGACCTAATCTTATAACACAATCAAAAGAAGGACTGATGCATGTCAGAGGGTGCAGAGATTGTTTTTGTCACAACAGATGGATGCTCCTCCCTCAGTTTGGTTCTGCCAGACAACCTCTTCCTGTTAAAAGAGTGTTCTTCCTCCCCACCATCACCAAGTAAGAACTGTGAGTTTGTTGAAATTTTCTTATATTTTTAGGGTCTTTAGCTTACAATATAAAATGCCTTGAGATATCTGTGATTGTGAACTAGTACTATAAAAATAAAACCACATATATATATATATATATATATATATATATATATAGTAGCAGTAAATTAGAGTTTATGTGAAAGATATTGTCTTCCCCTTTGGTGTGTATGCTATGTTTAATTTGCTGTTATTTCAGTGTTGTTCGAGATGCTGGTGTGTGGACGTGCTGGGATGTAGAGTCCGTGACTGACCGCAAGCCATGCGCCCTGAGTTCTCGGCTGGTCCGCAACCTCTCCAGGTCCTCCACATCTCGGAAGAGGAAAAAGACGTCCTTGCATTCAGGATGGGTCTCAAACAACCTGTTTGCCATGACAACAAGTACAAGCAGCCATCCGTGAGCCTCTCAGAGCCACTCGTGTAACAGCCTGTCACATTCATTCCCACACCAAAACAAACCTCTCCCCCAGAGTTAAGATGATATAAACCCCAGAGTTTTAAGATGGACAGTCACACATTTATTATCCTGTTTTTGCTGTGCTGATTTCACCTCATCAGCGACGCAATTAGAGGATTTTCTCTCACCCTTGAGTCATTCTCTAAAATAGACACTTTGAATAGAGATCTGATTGTGCCTTTTGGATCTTACTCTAGTGCTGCTTATAGTCAGCGCCTTCCGGTTTTCACAGCCAACATTTGCAATCAGAAACAGGCCACGGGGGTCATGACTTTGTTAGCCTGTTAGGCCTTACACTCAATTCCACCCGTGGCTCTGGGCGAGCCGCCCTCTCAGATTCAGAGTCTCAATTAAATGAGCCACTGCTCCTTGCTTGCGTCTTCTGACTTAAACTCTCAGCCAGTTTCTCTAACCAGATATGTTTAAGCATGTTACCAACCAATCAGAGATCCTTTCAGTCTCCAGCTGAGGTAGCTGTGATTAGTCATGCTACCAGAATACACAGCTGCCTCCCATGGATGTGAGTGCTGTTGTGCTCACACTGAGATCTAAGGCTTATGGTAATTCTGTGTTTTCATCATCGTGGAAGAAAAGGATTGTGACAGGCATCTGAAATGTTGTCAGACAATCAGGGGAGGAAAATATAAGCATAAAAAAAGAGGGTGACTGGGAGAAGCTGTTGATTTTAATTCACATAAAACTTAACGAGATAGGATAGGCATCACATTTCCACCGATATGAAACATCAGGTAATATCAGATACTCATCAAAGAAAAACTGTTTATTGTGTTTATTGTGGCTGATACCTGTGCAAACCTACAAAATGTGGGTTAAGGTAAAGTTTGATGTGCCCTGTTCTGAAGAAGACACTATTCAGAGCGTGTTAAAGCTCTGCATTACCAGAAGTAATTATGAGCTGATTATATTATCAGAGAAACAACAATAATTCTTAATTATTAGCTAACAACACAAATAGCACTGCTTACTGTGAAAATTTGTTACCTGTAGTGCTACACAGACAACTTGGACATGTACGCTGCTGATTTCTAACTCTGGGTTAAGGATTAATGGGAAATAATAACATGTAAAATGATGATGGGTGTGGCAGTTTTGCTGTTTTGCTTTTATTCCCTGTGGCCCTTTGAAAGAAAGCAATCCTGCATTTTTAAACCTGAGATTAAAAAAAAGGGCACATGTACAACCTTGGAAGATAAAGAGATGGCTAGAGGTGCTGGGAGAGGTGTCAGAGACTCTAATGAATGCTGCAAAACATACCCATAGCTCTCTAGCCTTTACACATGCTCACCAAAATGCCCAGAGGTCTGAGGAAGCATGCATAGCAGCATGTTTGTATGAGCTTTTAAGTACTGTTAAAGCACATCTTACTATCATGTCTCCCTGTTTCTTCCTCCAGTTTCTCTAGTCTTTATCATTTAACTGAATGCGTAGAGCTGACAAGTTAAGCAACATGTGGGTACGCCATGCGCTTTATTACCTACAGCATCACACATGAGAAACGTGCACGTAATTGTATCTTTTTCATTCAGTTCAGCTGCACAAAGTTGAAGAAACAATGCTGTGATATTTGCACAGTGTTACTGTTTTTGTGTTGTTGTTTTTTTCAGTAGAAAAGTTCATCCGCGACGAGAGAGCTGGGACACTTTCCTTCTCGCTACTCATACCGAGATGCTCGCCAGCTTCACTGATGAAATTTAAAAAAGGGTGAAAGTGAAGCTCTTATTTCACGACTGTCAGCACACCGGCGACACATAGACAGCTTGTTATTTTCTTCCATTGTTAATCTCTTGTGGACATGGAGTGTGCATGCAAGCATGCATAACATATGCAGACAACGTAGCACTCTGAATGGCTCAAGTGGAATTTTAATTGGCATTGCACAGACGTTGCATTCATTTCTGTGTTGTTCACAGATATGCTACTCCACCTTTGATGCACCTTACTTTGGGTAAATTTCACAGATAAAAATTCACTTGCTGAGGAGTAAAGTGAAAACACCAGTGACAAACAGGCAATTCCCATTTGTTGTTTCATTGTAACCATTGCTGTTCAATCAGGAGTTGCAGGCCATGGTGACATTTGTACCCTGGGGTGTCCCTGGCCCACGAGAGGCCCATGTATTTTCAGGCCAACACTTAAGGTCAATCCCTTTAACTCACTCCAGGCATCTTTCATTGGGCTTCTGGCCACAAATAGTCTCTCTTCACTCTAAAGACTGACAGTCTACATCACCATATCCTCTCATTTGTCTCATTTCCCTGCCAAGTGCCAAAGGGCTAAAGATGTTTTCCCGGAAGCTAGTTATCATCCTAATTGCTAAAATGAATTTGCCTGATGGCTAATGCCTTTAATTGTATAGTACTATGGGAGACCCGGAGTTCTGATAATGTTATTGTTACTATCACGTGATGACATTAGGATGTGATTTGGAGTGATATGAAGGGAGGTGCGCGGGGGTGTGTGTGTGGGTGGGTGGATGGGTGGGTGGGTGGGTGTGTTGTGTGTGTGTGTGTGTGGGGGGGATCTGTTCCAAGCTTCCGGGGGACGCGGAGAGGGGGGAGGGAGTGATGGAGATAGAATTCAGGCATGTCATCATCACAGTAGCTCACCAAGATACTTTACAGACCCCTTCCTCTGCAGGTCACAGCGTTTCATTAAGCTCTGATTGGATGATCAGACTGAAATTAATAGACATTTTTACTTCTTTTTTTTCCTTCTTCTGCGTAACAAGCAACAACAAAGTGATGCAACCCATTAATACAGTACAATACAATATCTTAAAGGACTCAGTGTGACTTCATAAAACTAAAGAATCTATTATAACACCACCCCCCCATCCTTACATACCGCTTCACTAAATTAGTATTTTATTCGATTCTGAATTGCCTGAAATTCTCCAAACATCAGAAAAGTCCTACCTGACGAACATAATAATCCCAACTTTGGCTATATCGTCCCGGATAACTTTCCACGAGTCTTTAATCATCTGAATCTGGTCCTCGCTGGGATACGCGGCAGCAGCAGCATCCTCTGAAGTCTTCTCTGCAAACTCGGATTTTGCTGCGAGACCTGATATTGCGCAGCCCATTCTTCACATGAAAGACGGAAAGAAGATTTTTTTTATTTATTCTATTTTGGGGCAATGCCAATCCAGGAAGATTTTTTTTTAAAAAAAGGAAAAACGACAGTTAGATACTTCGGTGCCAGAGGAAATGTGCTGGTGGTGACATCTGGTTTCAGTGCGCGTCTGGAGCTCCGCTCCTCCGCGTCAAGTCAGTGACCAGGATGCGAGCTGTGGTTGGCTCAAAATAAATAAATAAATAAACCCTCGGTGATGCGCAAATATGACAAAGGTTTGGTGGCTTTATGGAGAGGGTTTCTCTTGTGTATTTCCGGCGTAACTCGATGTGTTCATGTCCGACTTGATGGAACTTTTTTTTTTTTTTTAAACGAGGCGGCGCTCGGGATGACCTTTGCGGTCATTTAAAAATAATAAGAGACTCATGAGACCACATTAACAATTATAGTTGCTACTGGCAGCTCCACCCGGGTCTTATTCTAAAACATAGTTACAGTAACTATTACTGCCTCGTTGTTTGGGTGTCACACCGAGCTCAGTGCTCTACATGGAAAAGTAACAGGAAATGAGCAATTTGTTTTTCTAACTGAGGCCCTTTGCATACTCTTACAGGAGTGGGCCTCCCATTTGATGATGATAATTTTTTTTAGAGATATTTAAAAGCAGTTCTCATATATTGAGGACAAAACTTTGTCATAGAGCTCCTCCTTTATGGCATTGGTATCATCTTTTGCTTAGAACTGTTGCTCTTTGTTTTTGAAATAGAGCATTTCCTTACACCACAACAATAAATCCTCTCAACTCGCCTTTAAATGAATTTTATGTAAATAGAAGGCTTTCATGTAAATAGAAGGCTGTCTTTGAAGCCACGTCAGCCACGGTATGAATGGATCTGCAGTAACGCACATTTACCAATAACTGACAAAGACATTTCTGTTTTTATTCAAAATATGGGAAACAGAGTATGAAACAGTGCATTATTAGTATTTACAAGAGGCCAAAATTTCCCAAATATACAGTTTTATAAATAATGTTTAAGAAAATATACAACTTGCTGAGAACGCTAAAGCTCCAGTGATGTTTCACACGTTTTAGAAGCAGCTACAGTAAATGACAAAGCAAACGACTGCTAGGATCAGTTGCTAAAAACAAAAGTAACAAAAAATGGCAGCAATCTTTGGTATTTGGACACAGGCTGTGCTAATAGCAGAGCTGACATCAGTCAGAGCTTCCCTGACAGTTACACAGAAATATTGCTATACTGACTGTAGCGAGAATCACTAACATTGGGAACCAAAAACATGGATATAATAAAGTACAACCAGTTTTCCCATTTCATACAGGAGATTTTATACACATTTCTACATAGACTTTGTGCAGTGTGTAAATATTGTAATTCATATTTTATAAGAAGACAATAGCCATTAATATGTCTCTGGTGTCACACCGTGCTGCGATCATGTCAGGGTGTCTCCGATAGTAAAAACACTGCACAGTCACAAAGTTGGATTCTTTTAGAGAATTAACATGAAATATGGGTGTTGGGACAAGTATGAGATATTTGCCAGATAATGTTTCAAAATTCTAATAAAAATATACATAAATCACATGTTCATGAACTTGTGCTTAAGTTCTGGAATTTCTCTCGTAAGCTTCTCACAAGTTTGCTCTCTGAGGTCTTCCCTGAACTCAGGAGATCAGACTTTGCTGCACTGTCTACGCCCTCTGGACAGAGGTTATCTCCTTCTTGTGCTTGGCTGACCTTAAGGCAGGTCCTGGCAGGTTCCTGAAGGTTCTGTACTTCATGAAGGGGTAAAGACACAGGCATATGGTCCAAAGATTTCCACCTGCACAGCAGGGGATAGAGTCGAGAGCGTTTCTGGTGTGGGGGCCAGTCTTCTACTACGGAGCCGTCACTGCGTGTGGTTTCAGATTGCTTTCGAAGTGTGTCAGGGTCTGTCACAGACCTACGAAGATCTGAGGAGCTACTGTATTTATGTTCACAGCCATTACACCTGTCCATCCCACTCACGACTGTGCAGCTATGGGTTATTTTTGAGGAGTGGGATGCATCCGAGTATTTGGAGCGCAGCTCCTGAACATCAGGCCAATGGAAGGTCTCCATCTCCGGGCTCTGCGGGCAGGTAATTGTGCTCTGGGAGCTGGCTCCAGAGCTGGGAGTCAGGACTGGACTTGGAGAATGGAGTTCAGGGATAACTGCTTGACTGCAAGCATTCGTGGGCAATCTTAGGCTTGGTTTACCTGCATACACACAGAAAACAGACAAAGAATGCCTTTCAGGTCTCTTTGCACACAAGTCAAAGTGCTAGGGTACTTTAAAAGAAAAAGAGCAATGATTTGCATCCTATTTACCCCTTTTTCTAAGCTGCAGCTTCTCCTCGTGGACAGCAGGCATGTCCCTGAAGGCTTCCTGGTTTGCAGTTTCTTGGCTCCTCTGCCAGACAACGGGTTTGTTATTTTTAATGCGCTGGCTGTACTGACGAGCCAACTGGAACACCTTGTTCTTCATCTTTCCCATGTCTTGAAGGATCTGGTCGTCATCCATGCTTGTTCGGAAGCTAATGATCTTAGGTAGTTGACCTTGGTTGTCTTTACCGATCTCTTGAAACACCGGGGTCTCGGAGCCCTGACCAGATCCTCCTTCCACTGCTTGGCAAGTTGGGATAGGTGACAACGTGGAGAGGGTATTGGAAGCGGTGCTCATTTCAGACTCGTCTAGAACCTGAGGTGGTTGCTTATCGGTTTTAGCATCTGAAGTATCAGAGCTGTGGTGTGCCACTTCTAATAATGACTCACTAACTTTCTCCTGTGCATCCTGCTGGGCTTCCTGGCTCTGTCCCTCATTTTCCATGTCTTGCCAAACCTTGAGCATTTCTGATGAAGGCCTGAATTCCTCTTCTGTGCCTGAATTGTCTGAAATGCTGTTACAACTAGCCTGGGCCTCGACTGATCTCTGTGGTAGATAATTTCCAGTGTTTTGACTTGTTTGTAATCCAGGAAGGTCAAACACAGACCAAGATGTAGGCCTGTTCTGAGAGAGACCTTTCCTAAGAGCTGGGACGGCCCTCTCCTGAGGAGCAGGATTATCATTAAGCTGTTGGCTCAAGTTCCTGACCAGACCTGCTGGAATATAAGACAGACTCTCCCTGCGCCTGATGCTGAAGTTAGCATCTTGGTGCTCAGCGTGCTCGTAGTACTGTCGAATTTTGTGGATGAGGAGGCGATCTTGTTTGGAGAGCGTAGACCTGCGTTCCCCTTCATTCAGCCCAAGTTCACGCACAGGAACTGACTGATTAGCCTCTGAGCTAGTTTTCAGCTCTGCTGAGGAGCTGAGCAGCATTTGGGTCTGTTTCTCAAAATCCATGCAAGCTGAAGGGCTGTGGACGGCATCATCATCCACGGACTCTGAGGGGCAGACAAGTGAACCCATGTCCTCTGACATTACACTGCTCCGTCTAGATAGGCTGCCCCTGAAGTGTCCGGCTATCACACTCGCCTGGTCTAGCACAGAGGAAGGTAGGATGCTTTCATTACCCGAAATTTCCTCCTCTTCCTCTTCTGAGAGCTCTCCATTTGTCAGTACACTCGCCTCCTCCACTTGAAGACCAGAGGAATCACTCTCTCCTTCTTCTTCCTCTCCAGTTTCCCTTGAGCTATCCTGAGGTCCTGAGGTCTCCGTTTCTTGTTCTGAGGGGGTCACAGGAGACTCAGGGCACTGGAAGCGATCCTCTTCCAGCTGATTGCTCTCATTTACTTGAGGAAGACGGTCTAGATTGCACGGCTCCTGCATACTGACCTGAAACATGACACAAGTTTTGTTTTACAGTAAAATGACACTTTCTAATAACAAACAATCTAAGCTTAATGGTGCTATTTACAGTAATCTTAATAGTTGAATGCATAAACAACTTATGATGCATGTACAGCACTGTGCAAAAGGTCTCTTTAGATTTTGCTAGGAAAATGGAAAACAGGTGCAGCAGTTTATTGAAACGTGCAAATATAGTATATGGCAAAAATGTCACATCTTTCTTATCATTTTTCCAGTTTTAAGTGGTTAAACAACGGAGAAAAAAAATCCAATAGACTCCTTTGAAAATGGTCATGTACAAAGAATCGACTGAAAATAAATGAAAAAGCAGCCAATGTCCAAAGAAAGACTTCAGAAAGCCTTTAAAACAATTAGAAGAATGTCTGCCTCCTTGGAAGCAAAATATAAATCAATCAGGGCGACTCAAGACTTTTTACACTGTACTGTAAATGACCTCATTAGGCTCAGCTGAGATGTATCACAGGGATCCATGTCTGTACAAAAATCCAAGTGTAGTTAAAAACTGCAAAGGCCATTTGCAGCTGTCTGTAATGACTTTTTACTGGATCCTGGCGAGTTCACTATTACATTGTTTGCAGCTGTACTAGTGTTCATATTGCTGATGTCACCCCAGCCTGGCATTAATCTGAATTTATTTCCAGGTGCTGCCTGCTCTTTTGGAGTGTCTGCAATTGCAAGAGGTGCAGCTTGGAGCTGTGTGGTGCAGATAAGGTTAGGAAGAATAATAACCTGCACTCTGCTTGGCTGAAGAAACCTCCCCCCCCCCGCAAAGTTACCAATTATGAGAATCAGGCTTGAACTGTAACCGGCATCTAAATCCAATGTTGCCTTTCTCAGTGAGAGTGCCTACCATAGCACAACAGTACGTGTGAGGAATTTTAACTACCGGGGCTACATATGGCATTAATATGACTCCAGGCATAATTTACATGTAGCATAGAGACTATGTTGACGGCAGAGGGCAGCTATTAAATAGGAAACCAGGTTATTTGTGTAATGTATTATTAAATACGCTCTCTCATTCACAGAGATATAAGAATAACAGATAATAGACTGAGAGTCTCATTCAAAATATACAATGGCTAAAATAAGCTTATCAAAATGCGGACAGATGGATACTTTTTAATAGACCTAATACACATTACGTGTGGCCTCAGAGACATGTATGGAAATCGGGTTTAATAGATGTGTATAAACCGTATACTGGGCTTTATCAATTACCTGCAAGCTGCAAGTTTCTTTCAGAGCATCAGCCTCATGTTTTTCCACCTCCTCTCTTGTCAGAGTTTTCAGCTCAGCAATATCTTCGTTCTGATCATCCTGAAAAGGCAAAACATGGAATCAATCTTGTCTTTTGCTTTTTTTAAAAGTGAAATGAATGAAGCCCTTATTCCTATTGAAATGATGTGCACTGTCACATTTGGGAACAATGTTGCTACAACAATTAACTTTAACAAAGGCTTTCTAATTATGAAAGTTCAAAGGGGAAATATGATTAGAAAATGTGATTATCAAAGGGCAAAGTGCTTGCTCATAATGTTCGTTTAATCAGATGGCTACATTAACCTTTGAAGTCAAACAACATTTAAACAGAGCACACTGACTCAGTGGTTCAAATGCAAATGTAAGCATGATCTCAACATCATTCGCTTTAACATTCATCATGAAATCCAGCACCTTGTAGCAAGAGGAGGAAATGATAAAACAGGAGTGCATGCACAGTGAAAGGACACAAAAGTCTAAAGCAAAAAAACAAAACACACACAGGCAAAGACATGCACAAGGTATGACTTAAGTTTCACCCAAATCCTCAAATTGTTCTTTATGGTCCGACTGACAGGATTTCAGTTGATGTTCTTTGATAGCAAAAATTTAACCCAATGCATTCAGTGTGGACAGTGCAATTGGTAGCAGGTGTTAGTTCCATTTATGAAGGAAGGAAAAAAATAAAAATAAAAGGGATAGGGATGAGAGCCAGCGTGGGAGAATGAGTGGCAGTGAATATTGGTAAGCTGGTGGAATGGAGCAGGAAATGGGAAACCCGTGGGTGGCTGAAACCCTCACCGTTGTGAAGTGAGTAGAAAGCAAAGACCTGGCTCTATAGTGCCAGCAGGAGATGGCTGCGAGCACTGAGCTGGCAAAGTCGGCTACCTGGTCGTCTCCCATCAGTATATCTTCCTTGTAGCTCTCCCCATCTTCCACATCCTGCTCCTCCACAGCCTTCTCTGGCTCCAGCCCCCCCTCACTGGGTAAATAGCCCTGTTTCGGGTCCCTGTCAGTAGGACTTAGCTCCTCCAGAGAGTCTCTTCTCAGCATTAGATCCTCCACACACGGGCTCTCAGCCTGGGGTTCCCCTAGACTGGAGGTCAGCGTACTGACACTAGTGGCCGGCTGAAGGGAGCATCTAGCCCCCAGCAGTGCCCCCTCACTGTCTGCGTGCTGTAGCGTGAAGGCATGGACATGTGGTTTGTTATTGCAAGGCCAGTGCTAGAGCAATGCTGTGATTGCAAAGCTGTAAATGGGATGAAATTACCATAAAGCAGCTTTAGCTTTAGGTGAGATGTGATTTATTTATGTTTTTCAAATCTAGGTTAAGTACGTTTTGTGAAGATTAGAAATCTCATTTTTATTTGATTTTCTTTTTCAGTTAGAACAAAGTTTGAACTGCTGACTCAAAAACAGATTAAACCATATCTCACCACAGCCCAGTGACCTAAATAAACCACTTTGCTACAACAGACAGAAAAGACTTATTAAATGACTGCATTTGGATTTCAGACACTCACCTTCAAAACAGCTGCGTGGAGAATAAAACCACAGAGGAGCCGAGAGATGAACAAATGAGAATGTTAACGACAATGAAAAAAGTATATGCCAGTCCAACATTATGAGCCAAAATGACCTGAATACCACGTACATCTTGTATAATCAGGACAATTTCTGTCTTCACAAATGGGAACTGAGTGAGGTAGCTGTTAGACTGGCCCGGACTTAAGGGAGGCCCTGTGATTAGATAAATACTGATAAGCAGCATCTTGTTCTCAGAGTCTAAAGCCGGACATGATGCAATTAACCAGTACGTGATGACCTCCTCCCTCACCCTGATGAGAAGGTTGACATGAAAATTGCTTTTTCCATTACACTGGTTCAAAAACAGATCAGGTCTGGGAGCAAAGGAGAACAAGAATAGGGAGAATTTCTCTTTTGAAATGGTCAGTCAGAATCTGTGAAGATGCACAGATCTAAGGGCTGGGCCGAATCTGACTACTGAAAAGAGTCTGTGTATAACAAAGCCTCTGACCAATGTGGCATATAATTAAATGGATTATAGTGAGGTGGAGTGGGGGTGGGAGTGAATGTGCGTCTTTTGATGTGTTTTCCAGGTGTCTTTGAAAGAGAACAAAGCAGAAGTGCAATGGAGACACAAAATAATCATGGTAGGGGGCCGTGGGGCTGCTGGACCAATGAAGAGGCAGAATATGGATGAAACTCTTAACACTGGTAATGAATCTGCACCTAAATCTTACTCAGCATCCAGCAATTACACACACACACACACACACACCAACCTTTTGTGCTTCTTCTGATTTGTTTGGCTGGCTCTAAAAAGAGGATTAAAAATGGGAGAGCTTACTAAGAGTCTAACTGGTGGTTTAATGATCACAAAAACTACACAAAGACCAAAGGTTTTGTATTCAGATTTAAAATCGGTTCTTATACCTGATCTCCTTCTCCCATTTCTTCCTTCGAGATGGAAGTCATCAGGCTGGCAGGACTCCACCTTCTTCAGCTTCTCAGGGCTATACTGGTACTTCCCCAGATCTGAGCAGCAGAAGGATATGCTATTATACTCTGATTACTATAACAATCTTCTCCACACAGACAGATGTCTTTTTTGTATATTAAACTACTGAAAACACACCCTGTCCATATTGGTTACTTTAATTGTAACACTTACAGTTTGAAGTATCCAGAATGGCTTCTTTTGCCTGTAAAAAGAAGGCAGCATGTTTCAGGAAAAGCTGCCTCTTCATAAGGAAAATAAAAAAATCAGTGTGAGGGATGATGTTGTTTACCCTTTGTGGAACGATGGTGCTGTGATTTTCAAGTATGAGCCTCTTGATGTGATGGGCCCAGAGACGCTTCTCTTCTACAGTCTTGGCCTGGATCAACAAGCACTTGCTTTAGTCATTTACATTAATAAAGATGCACCAGATACAATCCATCCATGCATCTCTTTCTCTCCATCTATATAATGATTCTATTTTCATTTACCTGCACTGTGTGAGGCTGCTTGGGACGCTTGAAGTGGATAACACTGAAGAGCAGGGGATCCTTGGCACTGTCAAGTAGCATTAGGGTGGAGCACTGGAACCACAGAATGCAGTAATGAAGAGAAGGGCTACACCAAGTGTACTTCATTATCTCTTAATTTGCTTTCTAATTAAAAAAAATCTAATTAAAGTGGACATGAGTTATGCTCATTTCCAGGCATATATATTTTGTTACAAACAGGAGTGCTCATATTAAATATTGCAGCAGATAAATCTGTTATTTTCAACTCCACCAGACAAAACTCATCTTTCCCCCCCCATTTTCAAAGTGTTTAACTTTGTTCAAATAATATAACAAAAACGTACCAAGATATGGATCTTGTAGACGTAGTGTTCTCCTCTTTTTTTGGTAATAAGGAGCATCTTTTCAAAGAGGAAGAGAGTGCGGGTGTTCTTCGCCCTTAGCACATGAAAGGTGCCCTCTAGCACAAGCTCTCCGTAGGTGGTCAGGTCAGGCCCCTTCCAGTTGATCAGAAGAGACTGGATCTCCTGAAGATCAACATGTTAGTACACACCCTTTAAGTGTATATATATGTATGTATGGAGCTGGCTATTATTTTTAGTCCTTATACAACACCTGTACAATGGAAACACAGAGTGAACTGACTACAGGTGATGTGTGTCCACTGGGACATTTTTGCAATACTGAATTTCCCAGAGGGATTAATACAGTTTCATCTCCATCTAAATGACTGATAGGTGGTCTTCTGAGTTAGCCTCCTAAAACTGTGCAAGCACTGAGCTGCACCTGATTATTCAAATGCCTCTTGGTGGACTGTCAACAGATTTAAAACAAAAAGCAAGATGACAGTGAACTGTCAAAGTTTCTCTTACAGACTTAGTACTCCTCTTATCTTACTGAACTGTTCTCACAGTAGAAGGCATTTTTGAAAATCCCTGTGGTGAGAAAAATAGCCATGCATTTTCTAATCTAATTAAGGTGGAGGCAACCTTGATGTCTTGTAATAAATTAAAACAATCTTGTCAGAAAGCCACGCCAGGATAGGTACAGTGAATATGAACTAGGATTCTGTGTCCAAAGGATCCATTATTTCTCATACCTTAAACCAAGGAAATCATTAAAAGCTATTGTCACTTTAAATTAAAAACAACATGAGAAAAGTATTCAAGTTGAAATCAGAAGGATGTGCCGTGGGAGATATTTTGAACACTGGCGCTCTAAAAATCGCTCATGCAAGAGATGGAAGTCACAGGAGGCAGCTTTGTTGAGAAAAGCAAATATATGAAATGAATTGATAAACGAATAAGAAGAGTTACAGAATCATTACATTTTAAAAGCACCTTCACTGAACGTGTACTGTTTATTGCACATGGCAATGACATAAATCAAACTCTTCACAAGTATTTTAAAGGAATCTCATCTGACCTGCACTCTGACAGCGTGTTCGTGCTTCCTCTTCATATCGTTGATGTACCAAGCAACCCCTGTCATGGTGTCTATGGCCTCCTGAATGACCTCGTAGCCTTCCTCGTCTGGGTCAAAGTGCTTTGCAATTTCCTTTAGCAGTGATCAAAAATAAAGATTAAAAAGAAATAAATTTCTGTTGAGGTTTGGTCAAGTTACAGTACATTCATACCTAAACATTTTTTGTACCTAGATTAATAAGTAATATAAAATTGAAGAAAGAGGTCAAGAAACATTTGTTTACAGTTTTGTTTTTTAATTATTTAATCATAAATCACACAATTTACTGAAGAAACATTTTAGTCAACCAAAATGACGCTTGAGGAGATTCTGTACCTGAAGCAGCAGGTGATATTTCAGTATCCTCTGAACTGGCTTTAGGAGGTAAGAGCCCAAAGGAAGGGAGCGCTTCAAAACGGCCTGTCGATCCCTGAAAAACTTGGCCAAAGTTTTACTCCTCATGCAGTCGGTCAGTGCTGCCACTGAACTGTTGGACGGCAAAGAGCGACATCCATCAATACCATTAAAGCTTGTTATATCAAAAACTAGAATTACTGCTTCGTGAGCGTTTTTGCCAACAAGCCAAGCTGCAGTTTAAACATCCACAGATTCATGTTGTTACATGATAGCAAACACCACGCTTCATGAGGCAACAGATACTTCTTTAGTTAACCTTTTAGTTCAAATGATAGATTCCCTTAAAGCATTCCACACCAAAACAGGAAAATAAAAAAAATTAAATGTATGAGAAGAACATCTCGTCTTAGTTACTCACTTGGGATAGTTGGTGCAATACTGGGTGTAGATTTCAAAGTATTCACTCTGGTGAAACACAGACCAGTCGTAAATATTACTTATGTGCATTGCTTGGGGAGCTGATATCGCTTTAATTAGTGCAAGATTGTTGTGCTTACCTTATTTACAAAACACTGAGCGATAGCCACGGGATCATTTTCACACATGTCCAAAGACTCCAGCAACTCACTGAAATGCAGGAAGCAACAATATGTGATAGATGAGTGTCAATCGGGAACACTGAAACCGTATTAACTAACAACTATTAAGGAATAGGTAACCAGCAAGAACTTAATACATAATGACATGAACCTCAAGGAGTTTTTGATCTTTCTTAGAGGGGAAAAATACCAGTAGAGGGAGCCATACACTGTTAAACAGGTGAGTGTATACATATCTGGATTGAGAACATAACACCAGTCCAATCAAAAATGTGTTTTATTCAGGTCACAAAACAAACCCTGAGTTGTAGTTGTAACTTTTACAAGCTGTAACACCAACTCAGTAAAAAAATAAAATAAAATAAAGAAATACAGGCGCTTTACTGCAGTATGACTCATTTCTCTAGTGCTGAAAATGTACTTCAGTGTTCAATTACAATGGAAAACTGTTGGGAAAAAAAGTCATCACTAATCATCACAAGTCAAGTATGAAGTATTTTTAATGCACGCAGCACAATGCATTTTCAAGTGCCGCAAATCTTTGACTGAAACTGACTTCAAAGAAACGTGCCAGCGTGTTCTTGGTTCAATGAGAAAAGTGTTAAGATTTATTATGTGCACAGTGTCAATATTTGTTCATACCACATGATTGCTTGGTTAACAATATTTACTGCTTAGAGAATGTTAAGTGCCCCAAAGAAGTACAGATTCTTGGATGAAATAAAGACTGTTTATCAGAAACTCCCAATGTCAAATAAGAGTTTATGACTTTCAGAATATTGCAAAGCTAAGCAAGAGACTGGACTACAGCAAAGTAAATAACTGTTAGAGTCTGGTTTCTTTTTTACAGTATGTGCAGTACAGCATCCAAAAAGAATTTCTGTATATCGTTCATCCAGAAAAATAAAAGCTGGTTTCCCCCTTTTGCACATAAACATATGGCACTAGTGCTAAAGCTGATATAAGGATTTATATGATTAAAGTTAATATCACTGTTTATATATTGCGAAAGCAAAGCCCTCACAATGCAGTGCAAGTCAGGCCTTGATACAATGGCACAACATCAATTACAAATCTGTAAAATTAGACTGATTAAGATGTAATAACTACTGCAGCCTTCTTTATAATAGCTTTGGCATTACCAGGGAGGCTCCTCGCTATGAGAGGAGAGAGGAATGTTAATGTGTGTTTTGGCAGCCAAGCGCGGTCAGCAGCGAACACTTGCTGACATAAGATGTCGAAATGTAAAGCCAGCTGCACCTCTATTTCCGCGGCTTTCGGATATTTGCAGTCGGGTCTTTACTGCTGTGCGAGCTGTTCCTTTGTTTTCCCTGCATCCGGTTTGAATGACTCAATAAAATATAAGCAGCATGTGAAGAAAAATTCATCAAGGGTCAGCCATTTTTAACTTTCATGAAATGCTCCATTATCCAATAGCATAATGAAAGTGTACAAAACATTCCTTGCACAAAATGACTGCATAAAAATACCCAAAACAGACTTGTTATATGTACCTGTTGAACTCGTAGATGTCCTCTATGTTTCCAAAAAGAGCACACACTTGTTCTGGCCGTATGGGAAGGTTGCCTATATCGATAATGTGAGCCAAGTAATCCTGGAAAAACAGTAAAGAGGGGAAGTTATATCTAAAAAACTCCTTAAAATGTGGTTACATTTTTATGGTTAAGAAAGAGACATGCACTTCCAAATTCCTGCCAGCAGAGGGAACATGCATATACATTTTCCTCTCATTGCCTTCTCACATCCTCTGCACTGAGTGATGATGACATTTGTTTAGTGCAACTGATTGCTGCAGTTTTAGGGCTATAACATTTCTTCTAATGTGTGTAAAAAGACAAGCGGGGTATCAGATCTTCCCGAGCTACAGAAGCAGGATTATTATTTCATAAATCAGTTATGAGACAGTTCAAGGATCCTTTTAAGGACTTGTTCTGTGGACCAGGGAGCAACGTGACTCTGTGAAAGAAGCTGTGAAGTACCCATTCTGGAAACATCAGTACAGCCTGTTCCCTCTGGACATAAAAAGTATTCAAACTAGTTAAAAATATCAAAAAGTACTAAAGCCAAACATGCCAACATCTGGCTGATTACCCTTTTTTCCTGTCAATTACACACTCGTGTGGAAAGAAAACAACTCAAAACAGGCGAAGGGGAGAATTAACGATAGTCAAACACAGACATAAGCATTTACTAAATACGGAGCATACCAGTAAACAGCTTGTGCGCACACGGCAAAGCCTCCCTGATGATGTGGTGTAAATACAGACATACTTAGCAGGCTTGCTGGACGGCACAGATTAGGAGAACAGTCATCACATCACACTACTGAATGAACTGCTGCACACCACTGATGGAGAATTCCTGTGCTGCAATAGCAATGCTCACTCCGAGCCGACAGAGTGCTGTGAGATTTAATTTAGTGAATGCCATCTGTAGCTTATAGTGCTAGAAGCTGCTTTTTCTCGCTAATAGAACAGGGACGCCTACATTTAATTGCAACACTCATTGTTTGAATCGCTAATTTTCACATTTACGAATAAAATGCTGAAAGATCTTTCTGGGTGTGTTCTGGACAAGTGTTGGGAATATATCTGGCTATGCGAAACCAGCCGGGGTCAAACAGCTGTTCTAAAAATGATCTCATGAAAGGACAGAGTGATGGCTTTAAGAGTCAGAGAGATAAATGGCAAGATAAAAAGCAAGGATGTACATGTGTAACAGCTGCGTGTCAGTATGAGGCAAGAGCTTTGATTTAGCATGAAATTAAACTGCCAAAAGAAGTGTTATGGGCCCGTCGAATCCAAGGCTTTGAGTAAGAATAGGATTAAAAAAAAAAAAAGTAAGTGAAGCAATACTGTAATCATGGAATGACTATTTTCCCACGCTATAGCCCAACATCTCTTTTCACATGTGTGTTATTTCTTCTGTTGGTGCAAAGATAGAGATATTTGTGTTGGCTGGGGAGGCCTGACACTTCAGACTAGGCTAGATCTTGCAGCAGAGTCTGTCTCACTGACTCTGCTCCTGTCAACTGAAAGAGTTTAAGGTCCTGGAAGTGTTTGTCGAGTGCACGTCATTATTTAAGCTACAGCAGGGGCAGCACTCCCTCCCACAGTAAATGCAAGACGCCAGACACAGTCTGGCGCAAAGTGAGGAGGTGCTAACTGTTTTACTGCCATTCAGTGTCAGAAATGGCTCACCTGTTAAAGGCATTACAGTCCGTGCAGTGACACAGTAACACACTGCTCCTGTTTTTTGTGTTTTTTCCCACCCAGGACAAACTGAGAACTGGGGAGATTTCTGTCTGGAAGCTGTTTCCAGACTACAAAGGTAGAAAGAGTGATAAGACGTAAGTGGCCTGCTGAGTGGTAAAATCATCCCTGGCTCATTTTCCACGCTTCACATCTTTGAGATGAGGTTTCCACTATCTTTAACCAAGATCACAGAGCCCAAGATTCCTGCTGCCATGAAAGACCTGCACTGTTTCCCACTCTGACTCCACATATGAGCATACTACATAATCCCAGGCTGTAGGCTGAAAGCCTTCACTGCACTGTAAATATACAGAATAGTTTATACAAAACACCAAAACTCGACCATAAACTGTTTAATGGTCCTCCTTTCTATGAACTAGAAATCTCTAAACAAAGCCTTCAGCCGCCAGATGTCTGGCACATTTTTTGTCAACTGGCTGATTTGTTTGGAAAAGAGGAAAATCAGAATGGATCCTGTTCAAGTACCAGACCTATTTGTAGGGAACACAGTAGGCATTATTTGCTTTCAACAGCCACTGACTCAGTTGTCGTGTTTTGGTTCCTGGCTGCTCAAATTCATCAAATCGCCACTAAAAGGTGATGCAGACATGAGGTCATAGCTGCTTGTTAATCCAAATCAAATATGAGCTTTAAGTTCAGATGATTTAGTGGCTATAATTTAAAATCGTTGGCTCAATCGGAATACTTGGCTTAAGGGGAAAAACCCTGACATCCACTCACCTCTACGATGCTGCGCAGGTCCTTGACGTACATGCGCTCCGTCTCCATGATCTCCATGACAACCCGGTCCACATAGGTCAGCTTTGGGTTGGGCGCCATGGCATCCGCGACGACAGGCGAACAGGGGATGTGAAGTATTTCACCAGTCGCTTTCCTGTTGGCCGTGCCGTTGTTGTTATTCCACTGGCTGGTGATCAACCTGGCCTCCAGCTGTTCCTGCCAGCGATGTCTAGAACCTGAAAGGGTGGGACTCTGGTTCCCAGCCTGCTCTCTGGTGCCTTCAGCTGGGCTCAGCTCCAAATCTATGTCCTCTTCACTTGGAATAGGCGGTGTGGTGGAGGAAGGAAGGACTGCTGTGCTCCCGAAAAGACTGTGACTATCACGGGATGAACCAGAGGACAGGGAGGACACCAGGCTCACTGGACGTTCACCCTCTCCATCCAGTGGCTCCATGCACACCTGGTTGCAATAGTATGGACCCAAATCGAGGCCTCCCTGGACATGGTCACTGTTGGAGAGGGGTGAGGACAACTGAGGAGATTCTGGAACAGGTGAGAGAAACACTGACATAAATTTGAGAAATTTAAAAAAGTAAAACCTATAAGCAAAAAGCAGACAATGTCAAAAATTTAAAGGGTCTTCATCTATAATGTATGCTCGATTATTATTATTTTGGTTAAGGGACATTGGAATATTCTAATGTGCAACTTTTTGCCTTTATTGATAGGATTCTAACATTTTCATGCATTTAGATGCATGGACTCTGCCCTGTAACCAACTGTTTACTGCTGGCTCCTGCTTGTCTTAAAGCTCAAGCTATAATACAGTTAAATCTATGATATAGCCACAACTATGTGAAACCACTATGGTAAGTCTGTTTAGCAGTGCAGTGTAAATGCAGAGTAATTATTAGCACAAGAACAATGGCTCCATAAACATACTTCAATACACTGTAAGTGTATATGGCTTCCCCACAATGCTCCTGCAATAGATGGCATTTTTCCATTGCAGGCGTGCACTGTTTTCTTATTTTGATAGTCTATAATCAATCTACAGAAACAAGCCTTCTGCTTCTCTTTTCTGCAGTTCAGTAACAAGTACCTGGTCTTTAGTATGCATTAGCTTGAATTTAGCTCATTATTGTAGAGCTATGCAGACACACCAGGGTAAAAAGGGAAATGAAAACAGTGATGTCACCCACACCAGCATAGGCCTTATAGGGATTCAACGCAGCTACTAATGGCTGTACAGCATCGATATTCCTCATTAGTCGTTATATTTCGCCTTCTCATACATGCAGCCATAAAAAACGCTGTTTCAGTAACAGACATTCATGACAATTACTTTAGACAATATGTCACAAAACAGATCATCACAAAGGAAGTGAATAAAGAAGGATCCAACTACATGAGTCCCATTTTTGGACAATGTTAGATAAAAGTAAATCAATGAATGTTTAAGTAACACTGAACAGACTACTATCCAAGAATCAATACATAACTCTGTTTCCCAGACTAAGACAGGAGTGGCTTACAGTAAAAGGCCTCACTCAGATCATTACTGACACGGCCCAATTACAACGCCACATATTACATGAAAAGCCCAGCCATTTCCTCGCTCTCCGGACTATTGAAGACTGAACTTTGGAAAAACAGTGAGGGGAAAAGCTCATGAGAAAAAAAAAAAGGGGGTAAGGGGACCAGGAGCTTTGTTTATGCATCTGTATAGAACCATGACTGAATTTAAGAGAACTGGAATCCATATTCAGTTTCACATTCTTCCTGGCCAGATGGGGAATTTTCCTCACAAACGTTTCCTAAACATATGAAATCATAGCAGGGTGAGAATGGCCACTGTGCAGAGAGCTCCATTTCCTTAAATATTTAGAGAGTAAAGAGGTCAAAACAGTTTGCCAAGCTAAAGAAACACAGCTTTGTCAAGCAGTTCAACTCCAGACTAATAAACGGAAATCTACGGAGGCACAAACCAACATTGAGCAAATCATCAAGTGATAATTAATGTCTTAGGTCATACTGCGTGTGGATGGAGAGCATAATATGGTGCCGATACAACCCACCCAAAAAAAGCCACTTATGTCACGAGCTTGAAAATTTCTTTCTGTTCTACATGAGTGATGACAAGCTTCAACTTGCATATCTCCATCAGTAGATGTGCAACAACAGATGCAAGATAATCCCAAGGTTTTAGAAACAAAAATATGTTGCAACCATGCTGATTCACCTTTCCTGACTTCACTTATTTCCCAGCACAGAACATGAAACCGTTTAAGAAATAACATTAAGCAAGTCAAACGTTTCATCTCAGAGCATGGGAAGAACATAAAGTTAGTGATTTATGAAGTGATGTGCAGCTGGATGGGTTTCACTTGAAAAGTCAAGCTACCTTTGGTTTATTCAGACACACACACACAGACGCGCCTCTTTTGCATCTTGAAACTTTCCATGACTCAGTAGTGAGCTCATGTTGTTCATACTACATCTACAACCTGCACCAAGCCTTCCCACTGACACCGTTCCCATGCAAAACCTCACTGGGAGAAACAGATGGGCTGGCAAGCACGAGGTGACCGCTAGAGAAAGCTCTGTTTACGCTCTGTGACAAATCACAGGGTTGATGGTGTAAGGGGAGTGTAGTGGTGAGCTATTACACTCAATACACTGCTATGAATTAGGCATCTGCTTCCTTTGCTGCTTCTGTCGGTACTTTTGGTTTTGAGCCTTGCTCTGTGAGGCATGTGAAACTCCCTTCCTCTTTCCATTTCTTCCTCCCACCCAATATCCCTCTATAATAAAGCCTCTCTGTAGCAGGCTGCAAACACTGCCAAGTTAAGAGGAAGAGGAACAACACAATGTGAACTAAAGATAGGCTAAAACCCAACTCTTTTGCACAACCACAGTGACAAAACAAGACATGCATGAGTAAACTGCATTATAAGGTAAACAGCGGCATTGTAAGAATACTTTGAACTTATCTGCAGATTGGAGCGTGCACACTTGAGATCAGAAGGAGCTCAGCTTTGATTGACCACTTCAGAGATCGTACAAGCAGGAACTATCAGTAGGTGATACCACTTACCACATGTTTTAGGTTAAAACTGGAGGACCAAACACCACCTATGCTGAAAGAGGCTGAGCAGAGGAATGTAAATGACCTGCTGATCTAAGATAAGCCCAATGTGTACTCCTGTGTGACTCAGTGCAAAATGTTTCCAGTCAGCCTGTCACAACGATGACAAAAGCCAAGCCAGTGTAGTCTGCATCCTCTGTAACATTTCCATTTACATCATCTCTCCCTCTATATATCCTAAGTAATAAGAAAAACCATCATGCAGACAGTGCAAAAGGAGAGTGTCTGGTCTTGCTTGGTGCCACATAGTCTCTTCAGCATGTGCAAATATTTATTACTAATCTCTGAGGGATCCGTAGCCACAGTGGCAAAGCCGTTCCCATTACTGTGGCACTCTGTTGTCAGATGTGGAGCGCTTTACAAGTGTCTGCCATTTAAATTAAGCCTTTTAAAGAATAAATACACAAGATTTCAATTAAAGAAACAACATTACACATGTACTGCAAACAGATCAAAGCATCCATACTGTGCAGTGTTTTAGATGAGTATTTGGTTCAGGCCCAAATGTCAGTGATGTTTTGGCAACACCTGCAGGGAAAAAGCATTAAATAGAAAGTTAGAAACCACCACAGCAGAGGCTGCGAGCACTAGTTTAAATAGATGCTTTCTAAAAAACTGTTAACTAGCTAAGGTAGACAAGCATGACATTTACACTTTCGAATATTTTTGCGTACCAGCTCGATTTTTAAAGTGCAAGTTTTAAACATCAGGGAGGAAGTGTCAGGAAAACGCAGTAAATGTGGATCTCTAATGTGGGCCAAGTTCCATTTCTGATAAAACCTTCATGAGAATACATTCATAACCATTTCAGCGATCCTGTTAAGAAAGACAGAACCAATTTCATTGACAGAGGTAATAATATACTGTATATTAAAGTGGAAAGTGTCACAGAGTGTGTAAATAAGGAGCAGATCAAAGGGTTGCATCCATTTTTAACATCGGTGATGCATGCAAGCAGAGATCAATTTTCCTTTTTGTCACACATTACAAACTTGACACCTCGTCTACCTATAATGTATAATTAGCAGATTTGCATTCATTTACAGTCTTTATTTCCTGTCTCTTCATTTTAAACAACTCCGTGGACAGACCTGTTAAACCACAGATTATACAGAATGCTGGTGGGGAATGTTAAGTATCAGGGAGCTTAAGTGTATGGTCCAGAAAAAAAATTATTGCAGCCAAGCCACAAGTGTAATTTTGCCATTCACACGCCACAGTTTCACAAAGTGTTCTACCTCAGCTACAGCACAACACTCTCCTTTGTTTCAGCTGAGCATCAATGCAGCTGGTGCCTTACTGAGATAAACATTAACCAAGTCAAGGCTAGCGTTTGAGATAGTGTAGTATTTGGACGACATTTCAAAAAGTCTCTTAACCTCAACAAGCCAAAGAGTCGAGACTGACCTATTTTAATCCATTAAGAATTGCACAGACTCTTGTAGCCTAAAATGGAAAAAAGCTAACCCCCTCATTGTAATTCTTTAAATTCCAGCTTCTTGCCTGTTAAGCTGAGGTTAACGTTTACAGACAAAGGTGTTTTAACGCTACAAGCATGACTTCCCTTTTTCCCTCTGCCTCTTTGAATCCTCTGCAGTGGACAATTGAATGCAGTTCAACTGTGTCTTAATAGAATCTCTAACAAGGGAGGTATTCCTTAAACTTAAAAAGCTGCAGCTCAAATAATGAGACATTTGAAGACAATCCTTCCTCAAACTTAATGGTATATTTTCAGTCTCCGCCATTACTGAAAAGAGACGGCATTCGCTTACAGAGGCGCTCTGTGTCTAATCAGTCTAGAACTAAAGAAGTCTGTTTCCATTTCAGCCCAAGCTTATCAGACAGTTAACAAATGCACAGTTCATAAACTCATCTGCCTCTGACATTAGGATGATATGAGTGACATGCAGTCCCTAATAGGATGATGCGAGGGTTGAAGGGAAACACTGAAATGAAAACCTCTGCACCTGGTTATTAACTTTCTAAAAGGCTGTCATAGACAAGATCACCTCAGTCTCAAGCTTCATCTGTCAGAAGCTGCTACCGTATAGGGAACAATGAGTTCCTCCATATATACACACTTGTATAAAACATTTACCAGTCTCTGTCAAAGACACATACAAAGTACAGATGTTACTGTCGGTATGATGCTCTCGCAATGAGCTCTGCAGACATGATCGGGCATATCTCAGTACATTTTTTTCCCCCATGTAAATATTATCACCTTCTCTGTTAACATAAGCCACAGCATGCCACAATGACGTAAGTTAATAGTTACACAACCCAGTGATGATGAGACTCACATTTATCCATCAGTTCATGCAAACCAGCATGATACCCATGCAAAGTCTAGCCAAGAAAAGCTCTGGTTTTTATTTCTGGGACACCTAAAACTACCCTCTGTCCATGTACCCGGCATATCTGTAATCTGTCTGGACTCAACAACACAGGAAGAACCAAACTCTTTGTAAAGGTTGCATTGCACACTGCAACGTCTGCTTGACTTGAAATATGAGGAAACCAGCAAAAGAAAAACAATGTCAGCCAAAGTCTGAAGAAGATTACAGAGCAGGTTACAAACTGCACCATGGAAAATATTACAAGCGTATTACAAGCAGCAAGAAGTTTACAATTATTTGTAACCTAGTTTAATTGTGTTTGACAAATGCTTACACAGCCAAATTCAGGACATTTTTTTTAACAATTCAAATATTTGAATGCTTACCGTATAGACGTGTTGAAGCCAGTAAGAGCCACAGAGCAAAGTCCAATTTTTCAATAAATCAACATTTCCTATCTCCTCTTCAGTCCCTACAACTCCTATGACGACACTTTCAGTATGATAAATGAGGACGCGTCTTGTGTTTAAAGAACAGATGTGTCCCAAAGAGACACACCTGTATGACTACTTTAGCTGAAGTTAAAAGAATGCCCCAAGTGTAGCTAACGTTGTTAATGTGTCCCTGAAAATAAAGAGTTTGCGCTAAAGTCCCTCCTGCGCTACCCACTCTGGCTTGTGGCCTTTTGTTTTCTAAGCAAATCAGGAGAAAAGAAACAGGAACACAGCTTGTTTTCCACATGCAAATGCTTATTTGAAAGCAAAAAGAAGCACTTAGCATTAGAAAAGCATCTTTCTTTTACCATTTGAAAATTGATAAAATACTACACACACGGACCACTATGAAACACCTCAGCTCCTCTAAATGTTTCCTTTCTGGACACTGTCATTTGCATGAGTACCTTTACTGGGATTAGAAAAGCACTGTGGATAACCATCCAAAAGAAAAAGCGAGTCCCTGCCTGCTCTATTACCAAACTTTGCTTGGACGCTCCTGCCTGATTCATAATGACTCATGTATTAAATGACAATAAATTGAACACAGCAGACAATGAATCATCTCTAAAGTCACCTTGTGCTATTTCTACAGCCTTATCAGGAACCGGATGAGTGATGGTTTCATTTGCCAAGTTCTAGCATGCTAGGAAAAGCAGAGTTCCTAATGGGTTCATTAATGAATTCACTATCAAGCAAAGAACACAATTAGCAGTTTGTATTCACGTATATACCATAAAGAAAACAAAGCTTTTTTTCCATAATCTGGCTGCACTCACCCTAATCAATGTTCTTATTGCTTTAGAGATTTAGGTATTATTACTTAATTCTTAACTAAAAGAAAAAAAAACAAGTTTGTAACTCAGTCATATCAGAAGCAGCCAATTTCATTGTACACAGTCTATATAAGTTTCAACTTGTCTGAAGTGTGAATAAAGCAGGAAACTGCACCCATGAGCACAACTGGTCCATGTACTGTAGCAGCAACGAGTCTGTTTTACTTTAACTGTCAGAAATATATGAATCATTAGATTATTATTATTAGATTATTGCAGATTGATATTGCTTAAAGAGGCCTTTAATACTTAGTGCTTGTGAGAGGCACTAAAATGTATGTAGGATATGCACCTCAAGTGAAGATTAGCATACTTGATTTTACATCAACTCCTTCTTTCTTGTTGCTGTGCAACAAAAACAGAAAAACAAAGTTGCCATCAAGTGATAATCTACCTAAAGATCAAAGCTAAACACATCAATATTAATGTCTAAAAGCGAGACTAAAGCCTGCACAAGAACAAAGCTTAAACAAAGGACAGAAGCTGACAAAAACACTGTAATCTCCTTCAGACCAGGTTATGGTTTATAGTCTAAATTACCGTGGCATTGTATCCTGGTAAAAACCCCTAGTTAAAAACAGGTTACCTCACCAACTACAAATCCTTTTTCCATAGCGGAGGCCTCAGCTCTAGACTACTGCTAATCTGCTAACTGATTCTTCAGAGCCACGAGAACAGTGTGTGTGGCCATGTTTCACTCAGGAGATAAGAGGAAATCTTGCTTCTCCCTACATCTCAATAAAACCCTTCCGCCACTCAAGATCCACTCAGAGCTTCCTCATCCAACACCCCTTCACAACCTCTGGCAATGAAGTCCTTCCCCCAGTGGCAGCTGGGAGACAGGGAGGGAGTCTTACACCGATTTCCTTGGGAAAAACTCCTCCCCACCTGGCCCCGGTGAATGGCTGCCCCACAGGAGGATGTGAGGGTGCCTCAGAGGATTAGGCCTGGAGTCTTCACAGACCATTATCAAACAGCATGAGTCAGAACACAGGTGATTAGACACTGAAACCAATGGCCTGGTTTGATTTCGTATTCCCTGACAGAAAAAATAAAAAAGGTCACGTCAAAGGTTTCCTGCTGTAAGCAGTCCTTCATATGATTTGATTAACACCGCCTCACACGGAACTTTTAATGTTGCGTTAATAATTAGCCTGAAGGTCGGTAAATAACCCGCAGTGAACAACATAGGCCGAATACACATACACAAGCTGAACCTGCATTCCTCACTGGCAGCCAAGGTCAAACTGTTGTACTGAGGAGTTTTAGGGGGAATTCTGGTGTTCAAAAGTGAAACTAAAAGTCTCCCATTTACTGTCTGTAACATGAAACATTAAGATACATCTGTATTATTTTGACTTTATCAGAATTAAACTGACATTTCAGCACTGGAGATGTCTTAAAGACTGAAAAGGACAAAACCTGTCAGAAAAACAAAACAATCTTAAATGTAATCTTCTAAAACTCCTCTGTGCTCGACGCAGGCTCTTAAAGGATCCAGCCGTGCCAGCTGACCTCAGTGCATAGGCATGAGATGATCCACTTAAGAAACTCCCCCATCAACAAGCCCCCCCACCTCCAAGACCCCTTCAGGCACACACACACACACACGCACGCACACACACCAAGCTCTGGATCCACTCAAATCATTTCCTCTGGACAACACACACTTCTGGGCCCCTGAGGTGTGAGCCCATTGTAAACTTTACCACCAATTTGACAATCTACAGCCAAACTGCTGTCCTGTTAGCGCCCAGCTGCCGAGTCCACGCGGGCTTGTGTCGGCACAGCTGTGTGCGGCGTGGAGAGGAGAGGTCAGAGGGGAACCGTTCATTTACTTCACATGAAGCAGTTTATCACATGCAGTGTTATAAAGGGTGTGGTGGTGTTTTTTCTTGGCATTTAGGCCCCAGTAAAGTTGTGTTACTTTGCACTCAAATAAAGAATCTTATTACGACACCAAGTTCTCTGTCTTTGTGTAGATCACTAAATACGACACGAGCAAAGGTTTTCTCATGCTAAGAGTTTTTTAAAAAGTCCTTCACTACATTTATTGTAGTGAAGCTTGATGTCTGCAGGGTGATTAGAATATTATATATAAAATGGCTTTTAGATTGTCAACTGACTGTAAAGTGCGAAAAGGAAGTTGATGGAGGGTTTTATAGATTCAAATGAGATTCATAGAGGCCATCTAACTGGAACAAGCACTGCTGAGAACCTTTAGCTGATGTGGGTAATCCACTGAAAGAGCTCTATAGAAGGGGTGCCATTGTGAGAGGATGTAAAATAATTTATTCTGAAAGAAAGTCTTGTAAGGAGCAAAAAAACAAAAACAATTCTCTATAAATTAGTTTGCATTGTATATAATTGATTTGCACAGATATATGCAACATTTGTGCTGACATAGAGGACGAGGAGCTGTCTGGGATTTCAGTCTGAGTTCAAATCGATGCAGAACAGAGTTGTGGCAGGCTCACCTGAGACTCCATGTGATTTCCGCTACAGACAATTAGGTAGAGAAAGAGTTCCAGTCCAGGAGCTCCATTAACAAGCCCACTCAGAGATGTAGCCATCCCTGCCATCATCTATGTCCACAACCCTATGCCCACTGGTCTGGAAAAGCTGCAGTGAATGGAGATGATCCATCCGTCCCCCTAGAACCCCTTTAAAGCTGTACATTCTGCACACACAGCTACATTCCTGCTTGGGGTTAAGTAGGTCACGGGGAACCCTTATCTTTGAGAGAGTCATTTCATGCAGCCTCAGGCCCGTTAATGCCTGGATGAACCTTGTCACAGATTAGACACATATTTTTCTTTTTTTGAAATGTCAGAATATATGGATTACACCTGTCCTCGGGCTACAGGGGTTGCAACTGTGCAGTTTCACATTCTAACGCAGTAATGAAAGGTACATTTTTACAAAAATGATTAGGGGTACTATATAAGTTACCCTACATCCTTAAATTTGTCTGGGGGAGAAAAAAAAAAAAAAGCACCTTGGTTGATCATTATTATGTGCATGGCCCCTATCCAAAACCTGCAAGTGGCAATAAAAACACCCTCTTTTCACTTCAAAATCCTCTGACCTTTTAGAGACACCAGAGCTGGACTGTAACCACAGCCTTTTTATTGTTTACCTTGAAGAGACAGGTCTTCCTTTCACCACATGCATTCCTCCAGCCTGTTAACCACATCCAATCATCACCTTCCACAGCAAGCACATTACCAGCTGCCCTGCCCCTTAATCACCATCCATCCATCCATCCACACAGCAGGGGGGCAGGTCAGTCACACTTTAACTCCAGCTGAAAAGGATTTAACCGCAAGTGGGCTTTACTGCCAGGATGTTGTACAAGTCACATGGGCTATAAAAAAAATAAAAAATGTGAGGACATTTACTTGGTGCAGAGTGACATTTTGAGGAAACAGACACATAATTCATGGAGGGCGGCACATGTCTCCTTCTCGCCAAAGCTGAATCAGTGGAATAGGCGTGGGGGGGAGAAAGGCCACCATTTATGCATTGGTAGTCTTCAGCAACAGTGAAAATCCAGCACCAAATGTGTTCAGTAGAGGAGAGAAGAGAGGTGTGGGGGTGGTGGAGGACTGAAGGACAGAGCAGGCAGATACAAAGAGGCCCTATGTCTATGTTGTGGCTCTGTGACTAAAGATAATGAACACTAAAATAATATGTAATTTGAGTGGTCCCCAGTATATAAGGTCAGCACTACTGGCTAGACTACCCATCTTGGCTGCCTGAGACACATTCAGGTTTGATGTGCAAGTGTTCAGGGGTTTCAGCTGTATGAAGGGGGTTGGCCAAGATCCACATCCACACAAAGAGGCTCTCTACCAGCCAGGAGTGTAGGAGGAGAGTTCATTGCTCTCTCAGCTGTGCCTCTCAAAACCTCTACATTTCCTCTATTTCCAGCATTTTACATTCACCTCAGCTGTACTGCTGTGTTATGTTAGCAGTGTCCTGGGTAACCAGATATACCAGCAGGAATAAACCAACATATTAAAACCCTATATCATGAAACTAGTCACTTTATAGACAGCAATCACCAGCACTTAGGTCATATAAAATATATATATTTACCTTCTCCCATTGGGCCCTGGTAGAGAGCAGAATGGGTCCCCTCTGGCATGGCACGCGGGCCTCTGGTGCACACAAGAGAAAATGTGAAGGGTCAAAAGAGAATAGAGGCATTTCACAGCAAGACAAAGCGTAATCTTAAGGGTAATATTAATTCGATTCACTGGACTGAGCTGTAATTGTGAAAAATGCTTTGTTTCTTTACAGAGTCATTCTTGTGTCACGTGGCTCTTCAATCTTGACTAGACACAGCTTACTGAGCTATTACTGAATAAAACACAGAAATTTTCCATTCCCTGCTTACAGCTGTGTTGGCTCATGTTAGCCCCTGGATAATGCAAAGTGGCGGCAAAGGTTTTGGTATGCAGAGGATCAGGAGCTCATGCTAAATAGTGTAAGAACCCACTGAACAGGGACATAAGACAGCTCGCCACAACTAAGTTAACGCTACAGGATTCGAGTGATACGAGTATTGATTCCACATCCTTAAAGTGGACTCATTATGCTCATTTTCAGCACCATGTTTTTATTCTTGGATTCCACTGGAGCATTTGCATATTTCACAGTTCAAACCATTTTATCAGGCACTGGTGTGGCGTCTCGGTTCATCCACTGTATGGAAAAAGGAGATTTTAGCCACCTCGCCTTTCGTCTGATTGTCGACCTCTTGTAAACAGAACACATCAAATCAAAATAATCTTTCATTACAAATATAACTGTCTAGTGAGATTACAGGTTCTCCCTTGGTGGTAAATATTTGTCCTTTATCCCTTATGCCAGGCTGCTGTGTTCTTAATAATGAGCCATGTCCTTTCCAGAGTCACTGTGCTGCCAGTTTCTCACATCGCTGCCTCTCGGTCTCCTTACAGCAAATTAACACGGTGCATGAGAACTTGTCTCTCTGTGATTCCTGGTGAGCCTCCGGCCTTTTAAGCATCACATTCTTGGTCCAGCTAGATCAGAGGAATAGGAATTCTTTGGGGATTAGGATGGGCATTGTTCGTAGTTCATCTGCTGGCCACTGTGCAGAGTTGACAGCCAAGCCAGCCGAGGCCAAACGGAGCCCGCTGCCAGGAGGTTCACCAATTAAGATGTGCAGGAATGTAAAAAGAAAAGTCACTGAGCTCGATCTATTAAGATCACTGCCACATTGTGGGGTCCCTGCAACCACTGGCTGGCATAAAGTAAAGACTGTTTGGGACCCCCCCCAAAAAAGCCACAACAAAAATTATGACACATAATTCTTATTATTATTTAAGAATCCCAGAATGAACTAGGACAAGTATGTAATGAGAAAAAAAAATCCTCCTTTAAAAAGTTAAATGTAGGTTTTGTTTTACGTTTACTTAATTACCTAAAGATATCCTGTGCAGTGTTGCACCACTGGTAGCACTTTTACACAATGTCTTTTGCAATGGCAGGAAAACACAGATGCAAGAATGCATGCACACAGTACACGATAAAGACTAATGCATGGCTTTAAAATATCTCATTAATTTACACCATGTAGGTTCTGCAACAAAAGGTAAGAAAACTGTAGCTAGCAAGTACAGATGTAAATGCATTCTGAAATTAACAAGCAACACCAGTTTATTGTTAACATAAAATGATTAAAATGAATATTTCAATAAAACACTGTAAAAATACTTAATATAATTATTTTTAATATTCCTGAGATAAGAAAGTGACATCCAACCAACATATGAGTTCTATTGTGTTGCCTTGCACAACTGGTATCAAACGCTGCAAAAACTCAATAAATTTGACCTTTGACTAAGCTCGGCCAATTGATTTTCAAGTGCTGGGTTAATATACAAAAACGCAGTACTGATGCTGAGAAACAGGCTTTGAACTTTTCCCATTGACCAGTGAACTAATAAAATCCTCTGATAATCCCACCTACTATGACCTCTGAGCTAACCTTGCCAAATGACCAGACCAAAACTATGTTAATCTGTCTTTTGTCAATCAGAGGCTAGACTGGGAATAATGGGCTCAAACCTAGATACAGTGCAGACGTCTGGGTCTTAAAAATGTCTTATCAAAGGCTGCTTGTAGCTGTAGAACAGTGGCTTGGGATTGTAAGTTTTAAGATGCCTAACAGGACACTGTAACTTAATCTTAGAACATCTGGACAGCATCATCAATTGGAACTCATTAACTTTTACCTACATTAGCTGACATATGGCAAATCCTTGTTTTCCTAGGGAGGGACAGTGGACAAACTTTGAGTCTTAACAAAAACATGAAACACACGCCCAACATTCATGCCAAACTGACCACCTGTGCTTGAACTAGTTGTCATTTCACACAAATTGAGAACATTTGGTTCCCACAGCTGATGACTGCCCTAACCGCAGCATGAACCTCCCATATGGGAATTTGCAACTTGCCCCTTAATTGAAGACAGATGCCACAAGAGCC